GCAGGGAGGCTGAGGTGAGTGGATTGCCTGAGCCCGCGGGTTCAAGACCTGCCTGGGCAACTTGGTGAGACCTCATCTCTACAATAAATCAAAAAATCAGCCAGGCGTGGTAGCGCATGCCTGTAGTTCCAGCTACTTGGAAGGCTGAGGCGGAAGGATCGCCGGAGCCCAGCAGGTCGAGGCTGTGGTGGCTGGGAGCGGCCACTGCACTCCAGTCTGGGCGACAGAGTGAGACTCCAACTCAAAAAAAACAAAACAAAAAAAACTTCTCATAATAAAAAGTAAATGAAGCCGGGTTCGGTGTCTCAGCCTGTAATCTCAGGCTTTGGGAGGCTGAGGTGAGTGGATTGCCTGAGCCCGCAGGTTTGAGACCTGCCTGGGAAACTTGGCGAGACCTCATCTCTACAATAAATCAAAAATTAGTTGGGCGTGGTAGCGCACACCAGTAGTTCCAGCTACTTGGAAGGTTGAGGCTGAAGGATCACAAGAGCCCAGCAGGTCGAGGCTGCAGTGGCTGGGTGCGGCCACTGCACTCCAGTCTGGGTGACAGAGTGAGACTCCAACTCAAAAAAAAAAAAAAATTAAATGAAGGCCAGGCACGGTGGCTCAAGCCTGTAATTCCAGCACTTTGGGAGGCCGAGGTGAGGGGATTGCCTGAGCCCACGGGTTAAAGAACAGCCTGGGCAACTTGGTGAGACCTCATCTCTACAATAAATTCAAAAATTAGCCAGGTGTGGTAGCGCATGCCTGTAGTTCCAGTTACTTGGAAGACTGAGGTGGAAGGATCACCTGAGCCTAACAGGTCAGGGCTATGTGACTGTGAGCACGCCACTGCACTCCAGCCTGGATGACGGAGTGAGACTCCAACTCAAAAAAAAAAAGTAAATAAAAACCAAAATTGTAAATGAAAATTTTCACGAATAAGCACTTACTACATAATATACAGAGCAATATATGTAATATGATTATGATTATAAAAATGCATGTGTTCAAGAATTTATTTATTTATTTATTTATTTTTGAGTTGGAGTCTCACTCTGTCGCCCAGACTGGAGTGCAGTGGCTGCTCCCGGCCACCGCAGCCTCGACCTGCTGGGCTCTGGCGAACCTTCCGCCTCAGTCTTCCAAGTAGCTGGAACTACAGGCGCGCCCCACCATCCCCGGCTGATTTTTGATTTATTGTAGAGATGAGGTCTCGCCAAGTTGCCCAGGCGGGTCTCGAACCCGTGGGCTCAGGCAATCCACTCACCTCAGCCTCTCAAGGCACAGGATTACAGGCTGAGCCACCGAGCCTGGCATGTTCGAGAATTTAAAAGGGAATATAAACTGGGCTCGGTGGCTCAGTCTGTAATCCCACGCCTTTGGGAGGCTGAGGTGAGTGGATTGCCTGAGCCCACGGGTTCGAGACCCGCCTGGGTAGCAAGACCTCATCTCTACAATAAATCAAAAAATCAGCCAGGCATGGTAGTCCATGCCTGTAATTCCGGCTACTTGGAAGGCTGGGACGGAAGGATCGCCGGAGCCCAGCAGGTCGAGGCTGCGGTGGCTGGGAGCAGCCACTGCACTCCAGTCTGGGCGACAGAGTGGAACTCCAACTCAAAAAAAAAAAAGGAATATAATATACAAAAATAGGCCATGTGTGGTGGCTCACACCTGTAATCCCAGTGTTTTGGGAGTCCGAAGTGAGAAGACTTCCTGAGCCCAGGGATTCAAGACCAGCCTGGGCAACTTGGCGTTATCTTGTCCTTACAATAAATAAAAAAATTAGCCAGGTATGGTGGTACGGGCCTCTGGTTCCAGCTACTTGGAAGGCTGAGGTGGAAGAATCACTGGAGTTTAGTAGGTTGAGGCTGCAGTGGCCTTGAGTGTGCCACTGAACTCCAGCTTGGATGACAGAGTGAGACTCTGACTAAAAAAAAATTTTTTTTGATACACAAAAATCAAAATAGCTGTATTTGGTAGTGAGCATATGGGTGAGCATTTTTTTCTTCAGATTTTCCTTTCATTTTATGGGCAGATTATCTTTCTAGGAATAAAAGAGAATGATGATGATGACGATGATTTTTGAGTAAGAGTCTTACTCTGCCTCCCAGGCTGGAGTGCAGTGGCACACTCATGGCCACTGCAGCCTTGACTTACTGGGCTCAGGTGAAATTACCACCTCAGTCTTCCAAGTACTGGAACCACAGGCGTGCACTACCACCCCCAGCTAATTTTTTGATTTGTTGTGGAGACAAGTCTCACCATGTTGCCCAGGCTGGACTTGAACCCATGGGTTCAGGCAATCCTTTCGCCTTAGTCTCCCAAAGTGCTGGAATTACAGGCATGAGCCACTATGCCTGACCAAAAGAGGATTCTTTTTCAGCTGGAACTTAACTCCTGTATAACTGTTCAGGAACCTCAGTGGAGGACTTAGCCATTTCTGCTAAGCACTGTGAGGCCCAGGCAGGTTGTTGGCCCTACAGCTGTGCGCCTGGGTTTTGAGGCGATGATCCTGACTCAGCTGGAGAAAGGGAGCAACCCCCAGAGGCAATCTCCTGTTGAGCCAGGACCCTTCGGTTTTCATTTCTAAATCTCCAATCAGCCCAACCCTAGCATGACAACAGCACAACCCAGGCAGAGCCTCTCACAAGGAACGTGATCACACTTCACCTTTCGATCTGGGACAGAAACTTAGTTTCGAAGATGTCTCTGGTCCGGAGGCGTTCTGAAATCTTCCCTCGGAAGAGGAGACCCTGCTTGGTCAGGTCAATCAGGATCTGCCGTACGATCTCCCCCAGGTACATCCCACTGGTCATTTTCTCATATCTGTTAGGGAAAGATGGGTAACGTTGGGAGGGCACCAATGTATTGCAGAAGACAGCATGATAGGAGAAGCTAGGGTTTGGAGCCATGCTGGCCAGATCCAGGTCCCAGCTGCGCCACATGCTAGCTGTAGGGCATGAGCAGGCACTGTAAACTATGTCTACAAAGTGGGGAGCAGGCAGCGACCCACAGTTCTGTTAGAAGCCAAGCATCTGGTACACAGTAGGTACTAAGCAAAAGTCAGTCCCTGCTCCCGGCCCCAGAGCCAATTCTTGGCTTTGTACTACAAATGTGCTTCAACAGAGATTCTGCTCCATAAGATAATACATTTATTTTTTTTATTTTTTATTTTTTTGAGTTAGAGTCTCACTCTGCCACCCAGACTGGAGTGCAGTGGCCGCTCCCGGCGATCCTTCCGCCTCAGCCTTCCAAGTAGCTGGAACTACAGGCGCGCGCTACCATGCCCGGCTAATTTTTGGTTTTATTGTAGAGATGAGGTCTCACCAAGTTGCCCAGGCGGGTCTTGAACCCGCGGGTTCACCTCAGCCTCCCAAAGTGCTGGGATTACAGGCTGAGCCACCGAGCCCAACCAAGATAATACATTTAAACTGCACAAATTGGGTGTGCTCAAAAGTGTTAGTTTCCTTCCTCCTTTCTACCATGCTGTCACTTCCATGATAGCCAGGAGCAAGAGGGAAAAGGGGCCTTGTGCTGATCAGGCACTGGGAAGGCATGCTACACAGGCATGAGTGACAGTGATACAGCTTCATTGATGCTATTGCCTCAGAGCCAAATGGAAGGCACTTATGTGCTGGACTTGAGTACTCTTAACTGCTCAAGCCTCGTCAGCCTAAGGATCCAACACTGGAACAGACAAATAGTGGTGGCTGCAAGGAAAGTTCAAGTGCACTGCCTTCTTAAACCCTCCATCTTAGCTGGGCTCGGTGGCTCAAAAAAAAAAAAACCCCACCATCTAATGAGTCTTCAGTGGACACAGACACAAAACCAAGTCAGAAGGAACTTGCCCCTTGGAATGAGCCATGATACTCAGATGCCCTAGCCTGGGATTCAGATATAAGGTCCTTTCTTTTTCAAGCAATCTCTGGCTCATCTGGGCATACCACAACTCGTTTGCCTTCCAGCTACAAAGACCAGTGCTAAAGGAGGGCAAGAAACTGCCAGAGCTGATCTTGGCCTTGCCTGAGATCCTCGGAGACAACACTCTTGGATGATCCACTTCCAAGGTGTCTACGGCCCAGGCATCCCATCCTGTTTCCCATTGGCTTAACCTCTGGACTTGGGCAGTCCCCATCAAAAGAAAATGATGTTTTCCCTTACTTTATATATTCAAACACTGAGTCTCATTGTGAGAAAGATCATATGACCTGCAAAATCCAAAACATTAACTACCTGGTCCTTTTTTTTTTGGAGTCTCACTCTGTCGCCCAGACTGGAGTGCAGTGGCCGCTCCCGGCCACCGCAGCCTCGACCTGCTGGGCTCCAGTGATCCTTCCGCCTCATCCTTCCAAGTAGCCGAATTACAGGCGTGCGCTACCACGCCCGGCTGATTTTTGATTTACTGTAGAGATGAGGGCTTGCCAAGTTGCCCAGGCGGGTCTCAAACCCACGGGCTCAGGCAATCCACTCACCTCAGCCTCCCAAAGCGCGGGATTTCAGGCTGAGCCACTGAGCCCGGCTCTACCCGGTCTTTTATAGAAGTTTGCCAACCCCTGTTCTAGTGGATAGACCCAAGTAATTCTCAAGTCCTAGCATGCTGGCTCTGTCTCTATCTCCCCCTTTCTCTCCTACTCAAGAAGATAGATCAGAATGCAAGTGAAAATCTACTCTAATTTATTATTTTTTTGACCAGTCAGTATTCTCAGTTTTGCTTTGCTTTTGTTTTTAAGTTGGGGGTCTCACTCTGCTGCCCAGGCTGGAGTTCAGTGGCATACTCACAACTCCTGCATCCTCAACCTCCTGGGTTCAGGCAATCCTTCCACCTCAGCCTCTGAAGTAGCTGGGGCTACAGGTGTGCACCACCACACCCAGCTAATTTTTAAAATTTTTTTTGTAGAGGAGAGGTCTCACTATATTGCCCAGGTTGGTCTCAAACTCCTAGGCTCAAGCAATCCTCTTGCCCAGCCTCTCAAACTGCTGGGATTACAGGCATGAGCCACTGTGCTCAGACTAGTATGTGCTATATTGTTAGTGTGTTTAGTAGCTGTAATATATCTTACAAGTTATTGTACCTCCTGGTAGGATATGACATCATGGTCGAGAACCAGCACTCTCATTTCAGGTGTGGCCACTTCTCCACTTGCAGAAGAGGCCATCAACCTGGAAGCCATCTTGAAAAGCTGAAGATGTTGGCTTCTAAACCGGATTTACTAAAAGTCCATGCTGAGAAGGTCCACTCAGTCACCATGCCTCCCACAAACAGTCATTCTGACAGTCTCTGCCTCATTCCCAGAACCACCACTATCCTTTATGGTGCCTTGTGATCATTAGAAAAAAAGACCCACTGGGTGCGGTAGCTCAAACCTGTAATCCCAACACTTTGGAAGGCTGAGACAAGAGGATTGCCTGAGCCCAGGGGTTCAAGACCAGCCTGGGCAACATGGTGAGATCTCGTCTCCATAATAAATCAAAAAATTGGCCAGGTTTGGTGGTGCATACCTTTAGTTCCAGCTACTTGGAAGGCTGAGGTGGAAGAATTGTCAGAGCCCGCCCAGCAGGTCAACGCTAGGGTGGCTGTGAGCATACCACAGCACTCCAGCCTGGGTGACAGAGTGAGACTCCGACTCAAAAAAAAAAAGAAAAGAAAAAGGGACCCCTCCCGTTTACCTGTCAAAAACGCGTCATAGTATTTCACTTTTGTTCCAATAAGATACCTCACTGAAATTTGATAACAGTTATAATAAACATACACATCTATGACTGTGATATAAAAATGGAATCCTACTGGGCTCTGTGGCTCAGCCTGTAATCCCGTGCCTTTGGGAGGCTGAGGTGAGTGGATTACCTGATCCCGTGGGTTCGAGACCCGCCTGGG